TGTCACAGGTGAGTGTAGAGAGGGTCGCTCTCCACATCAGAGTTAGCTGTGCGCAGAATTTGGTTGGACACTTCCCTTACCTGGGGACAGGATGTAGACAATGATCACCTTGATGAAAGTGATTGATACATCTATCATTGATTATCTCTCATTTTACAAGTGAGAAAATACATTAAGCATCACTGCAGATGTGATTAAATATTCAATTTATAACTGTTTTTTACACCTCCTCAGGAGCACTTCTCTTTCCTGCACAATTATTCTCTCACAGTTTGTACAGCACATTGTTCTTTATATAGAATATATATATAAAATACATTACCAATGGAAGAAAATGTTTGTTGACTCTCAGTTTAGGGTTCCAGCCTTTAGGCAGAGAGATGCCATCCTCATACTCAGCAGGGAGCCAGCGGGTGAAAGGTATGTTGGAGGATCCCCAGCGAGTGTTTTCTCTATATGTCAGAGAAAAAATCATCATTGATCTTGTTATCTTCTCTGTTTTGGGAATAAGTTTCATGGCTCTTCTTCGGGGAAAAGGAACATTTAGCCAAATTATAACCAGGTACATTATCCTCGGTATCATTCACCTATTTTCATTATCTGTTATTTTGAAACGAAAAATGAAAAGTTCCTCACCCGTTATTGCAGGTGCTGGCTGCAGTGCGAAACATATTTTAAACTTGGAGTTGTAGTGCAAGAAGGGACACGGTGTCGGGGAGAGCAGCCTGTCAGATCAGCGACGACCTCCAGGTCCTCCTCAGATGAATCGTGTGTGTGTGTGTGTGTGTGTGTGTGTGTGTGTGTGTGTGTGTGTGTGTGTGTATTCGCATCTTTTCTTTTGTGATGCAGTGACACTGACCTCAATGGGGAAGCAGGGCTCTGTGCGTTCGCAGCTCTTGTCACAGTCAATACCATTATTGAATGAGCGGATGACAGGAGAGTGAGGAGTGAAGGTCAGGTCGTGGTCAGTCCATTGGCCAAAGATTGTCACCAGGTGAGTGTAGAGAGGGTCGCTCTCCACATCAGAGTTAGCTGTGCGCAGAATTTGGTTGGACACTTCCCTTACCTGGGGACAGGATGTAGACAATGATCACCTTGATGAAAGTGATTGATACATCTATCATTGATTATCTCTCATTTTACAAGTGAGAAAATACATTAAGCATCACTGCAGATGTGATTAAATATTCAATTTATTGTTTCAATATTTTTTACACCTCCTCAGGAGCACTTCGCTTTCCTGTACAATTATTCTCTCACAGTTTGTACAGCACATGGTTCTTTATATAGAATATATATATAAATACATTACCAATGGAAGAAAATGTTTGTTGACTCTCAGCTTAGGGTTCCAGCCTTTAGGCAGAGAGGTGCCATCCTCATACTCAGCAGGGAGCCAGCGGGTGAAAGGTATGTTGGAGGATCCCCAGCGAGTGTTTTCTCTGAGGGAGAAAAAATCCTTTATTATTGTTTCTCTTTGTCTTGCACCTGGGTGTATCATGAACAACATGAACAAACAGTCTTATACTTGACTGCCAACATTCCAACCATCCACACCCACTTTTAGTTTTTGTAGTTGTGAAATCAAATGACGAAAAAGACAGAACACGGGGGTGGAATCTTTTACAAGGTTCAAATTGACCACGGCGGCAAAAATTAAGCAGTCAATTAGCTTGATTGTTTGTTGCTTGTTCTTTTCCTGGTTCCTCTCTTAAAAAAATGATCTAGCAGGTGCCTCACCTATTGTTGCAGGTGCTGCTTGCAGTGCGAAACTTGTCTAAATTTGGAGTTGTCTTGCAAGAAGGGACACGGTGTCGGGGAGAGCAGCCTGTCAGATCAGCGACGACCTCCAGGTCCTCCTCAGAGATCAAATCTAATTCACAGAGGCAAGGGATAGACATTTTAGCTGACTAACTTAGTAACTTCAAGCAGCCTGTATGGAAAATTAAAAAAATAAAAATAAAAAGACACTGTAGTTTGGATACACACCTGTGGCATTGATGGAGCGTTTTGGACGTCTGTCCAGAGACCTCTTCAACAGCTTCACAGCAACATCCATATAGTCTGCAGCACGGACAGCAGTGCGGGTTGGTCCAGCGGGTTGTTTCAACAGCCGCAGGACGTCTGAGGGACTCGCTGCATTCCTCCTGACACGATCAATGCTCCTGTGTTGTGTGGAGAGGTCCGATTTATCAGCACTTAGATGTCACTGCTTCTGATGCCATGTAATCTGCAGTTTGAATATATCTGATACGTTCATGTTCTGCCATTTATTTTTCTCTCACTGCAGAACATGTGCAGCAAATTGAGCAGATGTGTGCACTCACTCTTTTCTGGAGTACTCATAAGCTGAGTCCACAGTGGCCTTTGCTTCAGTCACCGCTTTTTCAATGACACTTCTGCTCAAACGTGATCCTGATGGGAAAAAAGAAATCTCACAGTAAATCTGCTCTTTGTTGTCTTAAACACAATCCACTCACCTGTCTCTGTGCTTTCTTCTTCTGCCTGATTTCTTAAAATTTATGGATTTTTTTTATCTGCAAGTTTCAATTCAATTAATGTCAGTTCAGTAATTACAGCAAAACACTGTTTCAATATATCTTCTCTGATTTCTATTTTTTATCAATTTGACAAAATAAACTTTAGCAAGAGACTATTTTATACACATTTATAACGACTGTATTTCATTCAATGTCATAGATATGAAATTATTATAATGAAATTATTTTCCAATTTCATAATACTCACCAGCATTTACATGGCTTTGCAAACACAGGTAAAGACCGACAGCTATCAGACACATAAACCATTTCATCTCTGAAAAAGACAGGCACAGTCCTGTCATGTACAAAAGAACCCAAACTGTTTATATACAGATTTTTTTCTAACTTTTCTTTAAAATCCTTACTTAAAAATATATAACGAGTGCATGATTGCCTGAATGTGAGGTGCATCTGCTATTCACAAGCATGAAGAAACACTATGTGAAAGGTAAAGAGTTAGACAAGAAGCTCGACCACAGTACCTGTGACGTCCCAGTTTGATCCTCCACCTGCAGTCAGGAGTTAGTGCATTTTACACCAATTTGTCCTCCATATATATATAGCACTTTTTCTGTCAGAGAAATCACCGTTAGTGACACCTGGGGCATCTTTGTTCAAGCAGGTTCCGAAAGAAATGGACATGTTGTTTAACAGGAAACTAAAAAACCTGTAGGACCTAACACTTCAATGAACCGCCAACATAATGCTCTAAGTGAAAATAGCCCCATGAGGGTCATAAGAGGGTCATTTGTGTTAAAAATGTTTTTCCTACTTCCTACTTTCATAGTTTGTGAAGGACAGCAGGTGAAAGGATGATGTAAAATCCTATCAAATAAACTAAGCGGGACTATTATACAGACAGTTGGACATAACTGACTCCTGCCACCATGAGTCCATTTTCAGAAACAGCTCCTTATCATTTAAAATGAGTAAATGATGTCGCCTCTCTGGCAGTACCCAACAGTTTACTCAACACACTCCTAAAGCTTTTACCTGGACTGCATCATGATTCAAAAGAAAAAGAAAAGTGATTCTTTCATTTAGTTACTGAAACAGAATTGAAACAAACATCTATTTTTACTTTATGTAAGAATCTGCCTTGCATGAGTCCAGATCACTGTCCACTGGTTTTTGCAAATATCAGACAAGAATTGGAACATTTCTAAATGAACTCTCTCATATTTTGTCACTTTTGTTTTTTGTTTGTTTGTTTTTCTCTTTTTATTTCACTACTTGAGAGAGATTCATTTTTCCAACATATTAGTGTGCATTTCTTAGCGAAGTGTGTTATAGTTATTAATATTCAGCATTTTTTTATTTATTTTTTGCTGTGTTTTTGTTTTGTTTTTTTATTGGTGACAGTTTGATTTGTTTTATAGAGGGACAAGATTAACTATTATGTTCCTGTTTTTTGTGGTTTATTGAGTTTGAACTATCCTTATCGTCTCTTGTATGTCTTGCCTTAATGCCTTTCTATGTCTTTGAATTACTTTGTTGTTGAAAAATTTGTTTATTTGTTAGTTGATAGTTCTCTACAAATATTTTTTCGGCAGTTGAATAAATTCTCATGGCCGCTGCAAAATTTACAGTTGAAGACCTCACTTTCAATTCAAGTGAATTAAAATGTATAAAACACAGCACGCACAAATTTCATCAACTTGTGTTGTGGACTTAACAAAACGTACCATATTAAATACTACGACTGATGTATCAGGTTATTATCAGGTTATTTCCTGACCCTGCATAAATGTCATGGAAGACAAAAATAGCACTAATTTAGAAACAATAAGGTAGATTTACCATTGCTTTCATTCAGGCATGTGGCCTTTCTGGTTTTGTTACTTGATGACAGCCAGTGATAAGTTAGGGATGGTGACACTGTCCAAGATTTACTCTATGTTTATTAAATGAACATGAGACATAAAAACAACATTAGTTTTTGTGTAAAAAATCTTGTTGTTGTTTAGGCAGAGCAGATCTATAATAATGATTTTTAGAGTGAGTGCAAGTAATATATAATTATCAAAATTAACACATTTTATTTAGCCTAAATGCTGTAATGGTGGTAATTATATCCAAATTGAATTACATGCTGTTTCCTAATCAGTGATTGTTTCTAGTGTTAAGTAAGTTGGCAATGTGTAAGTAGGTCATTTACTGACAATGATGAGTAATGCAGGAAAAGGAAAAGCATATTTTGCAGACAGAAGGTTTCTATATTTACAGGCTGCCATTCATACAAATGAGTGGTTCGTCCCATGGTTTTAAATAATATCAATACGACCAGTAATGAAACTAACCTTAAACTTATCAAATATTGTAATTTTACATTAAAATGTATGAAACTTTTTAAGATCAGGTTATAGGTCTATGTGTTCTCTATTGGGAAAACACATTTTCTCTCCAGGAAACTGTGTGAGGTTGAGCGCTACTCGGCCTTCTTATTCTTGAGGCTCCCCCTTGTGTTGACTGATGAGCACTAATGTGTTCATTCTTTGCATTTTCAGTCTTGTGAAATATTGCTGTAAATGTAAGGGAGAATTTAACATTTCATTTCTCATGTCAGCAGTGGTGAAAAGTGACTGAGTGCTGTACATTTTTGAAGTTCTTACTTCCATTGTATTCTTCTTTAGTTCAGAATGAAATATTGTACTTTTTACTCCAGTACAAATATTTCAGTAAACTGCTAACAATATATTAAATATATGAATCCTTTACCACGAACTGCTGCAACATTAAAATTTTCATTTATCTGCAGCCTTTGATGCTTTCAGTCAAGATGCACAATGAAACCTGAGACATGTTTTGCCAGACAGTCACTGAACACAGCAGACAAAGCAATGCCAAAACTAGAGTGGTGTCTTTTAATAACCCTATGACATCACCTGGATGAGACATCTGCAGGCTTCAGAAAGCAGGTTGGGCACAGGCTGATGCAGACAACTGCCGTCTTAAAATAATTAGTATACTCTCGGTCATATGACTTTACCAGCAGTGCAGTGCCATTAGATACAGAGGACGTAGCACAAAAATAATTGCACTGTAGGCTATGATTATCTACCTGCCCCACCTTTTCATTTAGTATACCGTCATAATCCAAAATTGACACAATTGTGACTGAGGTGCTGTAGAAACCTACAGTATGTGATTGCAACACATTGAATTACACAGTACTGTAAATTTCATAAAAAAAAAAAAAAAGAGCCC